ACTTGTTAGTGATAAATTACCCTGTAAAATTATTATTTCCAAACATCACAATAAATTATAAAATGAATAGTCTCATATTTGAAAAATTATGAAATTAAGTAAGTACAGTGTTTATATTACTATTTACTACCTATATTGGAATTAATCAGTTTTTGAAGTTGTATACTTATGGTTTATTAGATAGAAATATAGATTAATTAATTTAAACAACAAAAAAGAGAATACATATTATGAKAATAAACTAGTGAAAATCATTAMCTATTATAATTAATGCAAAAAATATATGTTTATAAAATAAATATATGTTATATAATTATAAATTGTTTATTTTTTTGAAAAACRTGGATTATCRTAATTGAATTTTATAAAATTCTCAGTGTATTGCCGCTATGCATCAAATATATAATATATGTTAAAGTAATTATATTATGATTAGGTACTAATAATTAAATAACTATTTTTATTATTATTATTATTATTATTATTATTATTATTATTATTATTATATATTATAATTATGAAAAACTATTGTATTTTAAACCTTTATATAACAAATCATCAATTTACTGACATCTTTTGATTTTTTGTATATCYAACTACTTACGTACGTATTTTGTATGTAAATTGTTTGAATTGTATGACAAGTTTCAAAAATTTGTTCAACATCCTACAAGATTCTTTCATTTTTCMCATCAAGGCAAATTGTTTTGTGTTGTGTGKCTCATTGGCTATATTATGATTTCCTAGCCAGCCTTCTAATACTTAAAAAAGTRTAGAACAYAAATAAGTTATTATATTTCCCAGCAAGATTACAGATGRTTCAACAAATTAAGACTTAAAATTAAAACTTAAATTTTGACAATATTGRATATTAAACGAAAAATAACATTTTTAGTTATTTTGTTCTAATATGGTTTTATTTGTATATTCRTGTTTGAAACTTTTCACTATTTTACATATAATAATTGTCATTATTTAAATCTTAAGCCACTTTTACCACAAACCTATTCACGTGGAAATATTGTACGTCAGTATTTATTTGGATGATACCTTAATAACTGCTGCTTAATAATTGTATTGTGGTTGTATGACAATTTTACTTTACTGTACTATGCTATATTATTAAGTATTTTCAATTTGTGTGGAAAAAAAATAGTTCAATCTATATTTATTACAAAAAATTATTCACTGATCGCAGTACAAGAATAAGTTTTAGAAATACAGGATAACAGATGACTTCTGATCACCAATCGTTTTTAGTGAGCAATGATTATTGACTTCGAATGCAACACTTCTATTATTACATCTATTCAACTATAAGATTCGATGACATGGAGCAATTTTTTTGGTTTTTTATTGTTTATATTCASATGTATCTATTATTATTATCTTCTGTTATTTAAAATACAATACTAAATCCTTAAAATGGTATCACCGGCACAACGACTAATCATGGTTCAAAAATAACATTATCATTTGTAAGTAATAAATGGATGCCAGAAGTATAGATTTAATCAAGGAATTGAGTGGATTCATGAAATGATTACAGATGCAATGGAATGGATCAAGAACTTTGACGTACGATTGTAATTTTATAATCTATTTATAGTAATATAATTACCTTTATTTGATAATACTGATTTATATTTCCACTGTTAGAGAATTTCTATTTATTATTTATGTAATTATAGTTATAATTTAACGTGATTTTAATAAATCGTGATACCATCGTTTCATTTAAAGCCATATTATACAAATAAATAAATAAAATAATTATTTATAGTCCCTATTTTAATAAATTATGCAGATGCATGCAGCGTGATTTCAAAAAAAAAAAAAAAACAGCGTAACTTTTGTGACTTTTAATTCCTCGGCTGATTGAATGCAGTAGCGTTAACAACGCTATTTTTGCTCATGCAGAATTTAAACGTGCAAAAGAAGTGCTAAAGCCAWTGGCCATGGTGGAGTGTGCAGTTGTATACGGAACACGAGTTCGAGCTGAAGCAAAAAAGCCGTTGGTGAAATTAGAAAACAGTAATTTGTTTTATTGTGCGCAGTAATAACTGTCGACGAAAGAGCGTTGTTGGAATGCGGTGGCCTGCGAATATAGCACGACCCCATATGTGTGTGTGTGTGTGTGTGTGTGTGTGTGTGTGTGTGCGCTTTTCACGCTTATATATGCAAAAACCTCCCCATACATATACAACCAGCTCGTATACCTATTAAACTTACTCCGACAAAATGTTGGTAGCAAAAAAAATTGTGTATGAGTGTKTCTCTATACAAACTTTGGCACCCATATAAAGCTACCCAGAGTTTTTTTTCATGTGATATTTTTACAGAAACTCATGAAATATTTTAAGCAACGTATATTCTGAGTTTTGCTGAACATTGTCGCGATCTCTGTAAATAAACAACAAACCTATTATTTTTTCTTAAATAAAAAAAGAAACCAAAATTTAATTATTTAAAATCCATTCTTCTTTATTTTATTTTTTAATCAATATGAACCAAGCAGAAATCAGCCAAGTGCAATTATTATTTATAGTAAACATTTTTTAATAAAAGTAGGTACCATGAAAATGATTATATTCCTCAATAGTAAAATTAATATTCTCTAAGATTGATGAAAAATTATTACTTATTATATTTCAAGCAAACAAATGTATCCATTTTATTAATATATTTTTAAAKTTAGCGATAGTTGGTGATAAAGACTAATACAATAAATAACTTTTATGATATTTAATACAAACAAGTAACAACTTAAATAGTACTGTTTTTAGTTCTTTATTGATTTTATTTGAATACATATAGAAACTTCCATGCATGCAAAGAAGGGAAGCATTAAAATATATGTAGAAAAATAGTGTAACCTGTAAGTTCTAAAAATTCAATAAACATACGAYGATTTTATAAGACTTATGCAAGGTCTATAAGAATTAAGTTGRTTTAAATTTGTCTGAAATATTTTTCTTTTTTATTTATTTAAACAATGGGTCAAAAATGTATTTCATAATAACATTAAAAATAGTTCATTTTCCATACTTAAAAGTTAAATTTTTGAATGATAATTATAGGCATTAACACGATAAAATAATGTTTRATTGTGTTATTTACATAGTCTCAATAAAACCAAGCACATATATTTTATAGATCAAAGTTATTTTCTAAATTAAAATAATGACAAAATAAACTTTTTGTTTTAAAATTGAACTGTAAAAATCCAAAACCCTGTTTTTATTTTAATCTAAATAAGAAATATGTGATTACATATCTCAAGCATAAAAAATCAACAAATATAAGTTAGTTTAGCATAGGGACAAGACAATCTAAAAGTCTATACAAAGGAAGTAAAAACAGTTGTGGTATAATAAATAAACGCGATACTACGGAATAGTACAACAATACTATTCTTAAAACAATACTGAATGACCTATGTGAATTTGACTGCAACTTAGTCTTTTACAAATACTAAAACCAACGGAAAYCGTAAAAATCATTTGATATATTTTATTTATTGCATATAACAGTGTTGTATTATATATTTTTATTYTTGTTTATTAAATTTTCAACATAAGTATAATGAAGTATTATATTTTCATAAATTCGTGACTTTAAAGATTAAATAGTTAACTAATGCAAATTTTGTCAATAGTTTTAAACGGAGAAAACACTTTTTAATAAATCTGTAGGCTAACAAATTTTAGTGAGTGATTTATACATCAATGTCCTTTTACTTTTTCTTATCCTTCTTTGTAGTAGTTGTTCAAATGCCGATCCCATTTCATACTACTGGTTTAATATTAGCTTAAAGTGTTTATATATACCAATAGGTAACATAATACTAAAGCAACGTTAACCATTCGTTTTAATTTAAGTTAATAAAATATATAAATACAGAAACTATTTAACCAGGGTATAAATATGTATTAATAATTCGAGTAATGAATTAGGGGAAACTTGTTTTTTAAAGTTATTTATTTTTATGTGTAACTATTTCGCTAAGTCTGTGGTTTTTTGAGTTTTTGACTAACCAAGGTTCAGGCAGTCAGTATGTCATCTTTAAGACAGATACAGGACCTATAGATTTTTTGAAAAATACTTTTTGATCAATGAAAAATTATGAGTGGGGAATTGAAACACATCATTTAACGCATTAATAATAAATTGCTTCATTTTCAAAGTCTGTAATAATTTCTAAATCTAGATTTTCATCTATTTCTATGTTATTTTCATCTGAAAATTCAATTAAAAGTATAAATATTAAATATTGTTAGGTACATTAACTTCTAAACCTTTGATGAAATCAATACAAGCAAATTAAGCAAATTAAAGCAAATTCAGGTGACACATAATTTATAGCAATCCTTGCTTAATTAAATCATGTATAATAAACAGATGTGTAACATATATAATTAATAAAATATATTTTTACATTAGGTACTTCAAAAGTTCCATATACTATTATCCTTATCCAACAGTAAAATTAGGTTCTTATAATAATGTACAACTTTTTTTAGTAGTAAACAATACAATTTAATTTATTTGTGGATCAATAGTTATTGTATTGTCTGTCGGTAGTTAAAATTAACTTTAATATAACCTATTTATTTAGTTAATACTATCTTTATTGTTATTGTTACCTACTGTCATAAAAGTTGTGTGTTTGGATCCTACTGTTGTTACTTATGCGTTGTGACAAATRTGTAATATGTAATATGTGTAATATAAGCCTTTTTTAAATTTTAATACATATGACTCAATTTAAAAAAGTTTAGTAGGTTATTCCTTTTCTTTCAATTTTTTTTTTTATAGATGTCTTCCAAGAAATCAAAAGCAATAATTTATATACAAATAAAAATATTTGTTAGGTATTTGAGTATTTCTAATTTTAAATTGTTCTCAATGAATTTTTGTTTATTTGATTTTTTAAAACTATATTATATTATCAAAAGCAGTTTTTTGAATAAAAAATATTCTGCTCAGGGTATTAAAGCTTTTATAAAGAGCCTTAACGGTTAACGCTAAGGTATAACAGTTTTTATTTATCTCTCTCGAAAAGTAATAAAACCATTATTTAATCCCTATTTGCGTTTACCAGTCGTTATATTATATATAATTAATAATGTACAGTCAGTCGAAATTTGACCGATTATGGTTAATAAATAAATTACACTGCGCCAAGTCACCTATTATTATTATTATTATTATTATTATTATTATTACTAACTATAAATTTACGATAAATCATAATATTGAAAAATGATTTTAAATTATTTGTCATGTTTGAGTTTGAGGTTTATAAAATAAAATTTATAAGTCATAAAACTTGTGATGATTTTATTTTAAATGGTTAGAAAAAAAAAAGTTATAATACTATCTAGAATTTTATCAAAGAGTCAATGTGATAGGATATTTGTCTAAGTAATTTTTTCGTAAAACAATAAAGGTAGGTACATAGTACATTAAATAACTGCATGCATAATTCTAAGGATCTTTAAAAATTAGTTTTTATKACGAATTCTTTTTCTACATATATGTTGTTTTATATATTAAGAATTATTAGAGAAACAATAAATCAATGAATTTTCAATTGCATACACTTTACAAAAATACCAGATGTCTTAATTACTTGATATAGCCTTAGAGCTAAAATATAATACATTTATCATTATACTTTAAGGAGACATTAAAAAAAAAAAAAAATTAAACGTTATCGTGTTGTACCTATAGTTTATTTATTAACCGAACGCATAAAGTTAATTATCTTTTTTTTAGATGTAAGGGAATATAACTTGTTTAGTCAATCAATATAAGCCCCAATATGCATACAATTTATACTGTATACATTAATTATACAAACAATTTTATTTAATCCAAGCTTATTCATTTATAGGAACTGTGTTGTRTTCAATCATTATAAAACTCATAAGCATATATAACTCACTCGCTATATATACGTCTATTTAATGAATAAAGAACAAACCAAGTACGCAACATGTGGAGTCCGTTTAACAATTAGAAATATTCTCGTAGAATGCTGACAAACAGAAGTTGCTAGAAAAAACTAAAAAATAGCAGAGATTCTCTACCAATCCTTAGGTTCCAGCGTATCAACAATCAAACAAACGCTAAACTTTATTAAAAAATTATAAATTGTAATAAAATTAATAGTTTAAGGTATAAGTAATTAACATTATTATACAACGAATATTTATGTTTATAATAAGCTAGGTAGGTGTATTTAAACTAGAAAACTGTTGATTAATCTTTAATTAGGTATATGAGTTATTTTAGATTTAAAATAAAAAATAAAAAACTGATAATATATAAGTAATAATAATAATCATAATAGTCTAATTTAATTATTTAGCTAAGCTGTATATTAAATTATTTTAAATTAATGTAGACATGTAGTTAAGTGTTGACCATTATAGAATTAATACCAAAATTTAAACTGTAAGCTATAAACTGCCCTGCTCTAATTTTATTTACTCAACTGATTAAAAAATTTAAGCAATAATATTTTCTTAACAAAATAAATATATAAAATTATTTCAAAAAAATTAGAAATGCTTTAATTACTATTAGCATATTTCTATACCTACATACGGCAATAATAGGGCAATACATACGGCAATATACGTATAATAATATAAGATAACACTTCTCAATATTAATTAGGTAAAACATTTAATCACTTCATCAATTACATCATATTATCGCTTATCAGTCATATAATTATTGGTCTATTAACCATTTCCAAACTTTTTTTAATCTTTGTATAAGTTTAATAAACAATGATCGATGTTTAGCTACAACGTATAYGAAAAATTAAATTATTAATTCGATAGGCATAGACACTTATAATTACGACGGTTAGGTTAGGATAAAATAATCTGTTTGCAAATAAAAGATAATACAGTTACGTATGGATTATACCATTACTTACCCATGTAAATATTTGATTGTAATTCGTCACATAAGATTAAATGTCAATAAATTATAAAAATTATGTAATATATTATGTATAATTGGGTKTATTGATTTTTATTTATCTTTTTCAACAAAAACAACGAATACCTATATGTTAAAAAAAACTTACACCTATCAAACATAATATTAAAACCGTTACACAAGTTTGATATTGAGTTTTTTTACATATAAAACGCCCCTTTTTTGTTTTTTTGTCACATAAACAACTACTCGGTGCGGTTTCCTTTGCAGTCGCTTTGTCTCGAGTACTGTGCTTAAGAAAATTATATTATATAATAATAAAAAATAGGGTGAAAACCCTTTCCAAGGACAGGTAATTACTAGCAAACGATTTCGGGGGGTCCCAAACAATCATGGATTATATCCATGTCCTTTTCATTCGTGCCAAAATCGGCTCTTGTGATCCTATTACCCATTATGCCTGGACGGTTGACGTTCCTATTATGGTGCAATGTTACCAAAAGAATATGGGGGGTCGTCACCGCCTAGTTTCATATTACCCTACAAAAATCCGTAACCGGTTCAGTACTTTTTTTACTCTTTCCTCATACGTGTGTATGTATAATAAACTATATATTATGTATATCTATAATATTAAGTATATTATACACGCATATCAAGTAAAACTCATTGTCCGTTAAATTGTTTTTGACAAACTACATAATAGGGAGATCGTTKGATAACTTCGTTGCCGAAACCGCAAAAATCGACATTGATCCCTCGTGGTTTCTTTTCTGCCGTGAAACTGCGTATATAATATAGGCATCATAGTCTTTTAAAACTAACAATTTTTTAGTCAAATCGATCGTAATGAAATTCCTGTCCACGGCCGTTACATAGGTGCGTTTATTTTGTTTGCATATCAATGGATTATTATGTTATAAGACCAGCTTATGGTAAGTGGTAATATTATAGTAAATAGGTATATAMCTCAACATTATAGTATACCTTCCAATATAATTGTGAAACTATGCATTGTACCTACCTTCATTAAATGACAGATTTTTAATTGAACTTCATGGACAATCACTATATACCATACACCCACTATAAAAATACTCCTCTCACGATAATAATATAGGTGCACACACATATAATATGTCATATGTCTTGTTCTTTGGCGCTGCCACTCAATTCAATAAACACAACACAATTCTCGATGATGTTTTTATGGCTTAGTGTTCTCGATTTGTATTCCTGCAATAGGGATAAGAAGTAAAGCTATTGTTGACTAATGGTAATTTTCAAACATTATATAGGCTATAACCATTAACCGAAGGCTGTTAAAATAGTGTGTTTAATTTATTTCTAAAGAATGTGCAGGAAAACCGGGAGGAATTAATGATATAAAATATTTATCTGACACACGAATCAACCAAATGTACATTGTTCATACGTATTTATATCGTTCATTCTATAAAATATGTATGGCATTTGTACCTATACATTATTATTTTTTTATTGAACAAACTTGACATCAGCAGTAAAGGCAATTAGTCAAATTTAGTTTACACAATTTTTTTTTAGATTCTATATATTATTATATCTATAGTATATACTATATTACACTTTATAACGACTTTCGTAATTATTTTTATAAGCATAACTTATTTTAATGTTTTGTACATTTTAAAATATATTCTTTATTCATATTAATTATTTAACAATCGAACACAAAAATTAACAATTTTACTTGTATGTATGAACGTATAGTATAAAAACAAATAAATATTTAAATAATTTTATTAATTATTTTGTGATCAAACAAGTAGAGTTTTATACTCTGAGTATATAGTATTATAAATCAATAGAATTTTCGTAACTGTATTCCGGGAAAACATGCACCTATACTTACAATACATTTATTTATTGCTTCTGTAAATTATGTAATATTATACCAATCTTGTATGTTTAATGTGAAATTTATCGGCGCAATCGAATTAGCTCYCCAATACAGGTAGTTAATATTTTACCCGTAATAAGTACCTACCTTTGAATTGACTCCCAATAATTTACTATTTAATTGGCTCCCTAGTATTTTTCTTTTTCGAAAATATACTGGTTATCAAAATGTTGTTAATATTTCAAAGTTAGGTGGACAGTATRTCCTAAATTAGTTAACGTCACTATGATTCTTAATCTTAACACATGGTTTATGGTATCACATTGGCCAGTTGCGCCTAAAACAAAATTTATAATTTAGGTTCAGTATACCAAATTGCGGTACTTAAATTTAAGGACATTTTTTTTACTAATGCAGATCTTTATTTAAGTATATACGTATAATGTATATACTAGATGTAATGTTGAATAATATTATAATAGTCATTTTGTAACGAACACAGCATTCTGAGATTCTGACTATAGCCGATACTCCACAGCAAGTAGCTGGATATGTCGACTATTGCCAACAATAGAGTGCGCTCATARACGGTACTATCATGTACTATTATACTACTATGATTACTATTAGAATATAATATGGCCTGTACACCCGTCGGTACCTCAGACGCGGTGGTGCATAATATGTGCATATAAGAGACCCAGCAGCAAAACCAAAACACACTCCGTCATCAGATCCGAAATTTAGTAATAGCTGTCTGGTAAGTAGTGAGCTTAGCTTTGCCACCTGTTTTAATAGGTCGGTTAGTGGAGCTCGTATCTACTCTGCCGGGCCAAGGCTAATAGTAGGCTTTTAGTTCGCGACATTAATTTACTTTTCGTGCCCAGTACTGCCGCCGTCAAATCCGAATGCGCCGTGCCAGTTTGCTGAGACACGAAATAACCTTTAATTTGTCATTCACATTCGCTAGTACCGCCGCCGTCGAATCCGAACGCGCCGWAGCCGTCTACCGAAATTGCTCATGGTTTATTAGTATTGCCGCCGTCGAACTTAAACGCGCTGTTGCTGTCTGATACCTTCGAACAACTATTTCACCAAGTCCAGGTGAACCTGCCGGGATAACAACATATTATGCTATTATTCATGCCCATCGAGCCGCGAAGGAAAAKGATAAGAATCTGACCGYGTTATCATATCAACACTGTAGTAAGTACAGTCAACTCGCGATATATTCAACAAGTATATTCTCTTGATATAACGAATTTCGATGTAACGAACTTTCAATATAACGAATTTTTTTTCGGTCYCTTGAAATTCGTTATATCGCGAGTTGRCTGTACTTCAATTATTAATTGTGATTGGGACTGATTCGTATTGTATAATTAAACCGCAAATTTATATTATATTCATGTTACAGTATATTTCGTATAATATACTGTCTAAAGAAGATATTTTAATAATTTGATATTGTATTATAAACTTTATTAGTAATGTATTAATTAAATGTACTAACTCTAACTTTTGTCAAAATAAATGAAAATTTTATTATTTAAACTGAAATTGTGTTCAATGTGAACTGGCGCCCAACCAATACGTCTATTCATTATCATACACCTAATAYGAGTCGATAACAATTTATTAAATTTTAATTATATTTTTAATTTTTATGCATATATTATTAAGTATTATTGAAGTTTATTATGTAATTATGTAATTTTTTACTGATAAAAAATCTATTAATTAATATACATTTTTATAAAAGTATATACTAAGTGTTATAATAGAATAATATTATATATATATATATATATTTTTTTTTAATCTAGATTACAATCTGTACATAAAAAATAGCTTGAGTATCTTGAGAGAAGAACCAACCAGCGAAGGCACTTCGGCGTGAATTTACAAATTATTTAGGATTTTTTTTTATTTTTTTTTTACTTATAAGATCTCTAGGCTATTGTCACAGGGGGTTCTACAGGGATGGCGATGGGTAGTAACTTTTTAAAATGAAGGTTAGTGTGATTTTGAAGGCCGATTTCTGAATTTAGAGTAAAATAGCTTCAGTGACTTTAGGAATATGGAGACCAGTATGAAGGGTGTGATTAAGATATAAAGAGGAGCATTGGTTATGAGTCTGAGGATTTTAGGTTGGAACACTTGTATTTTTTGAATATTCGATTTTTTGGCAGTGTCCCAAACCTGTATACCGCAGAACCATATTGGCTTAAGAAGGAGATTGTAGATGTGAATTTTGGTTCTGAAGGATAGTTATTAGAACTTACCAAGAATGAGTCTGAGAGAGTAGAGTCGTTTGTTTAATTTTAGTTTTGTTGTATGAATGTGTTTAGCCCACGTTAGATGTTTGTCAAAAATTAGACCTAGATATTTGGCTGTGTCGGAATTCGGTATAGGTTTGTTGTTTATATGTACTGAGGGAGGTTGGCTGTGACGGAGAGCATAGGTAGTGTGTACAGATTTGCTTTCATTTATTTTGACGCACAGTGAGAGTACCAGTGTGATAGGTCATTCAGGTGGTTTTGGATGGAGGTTAAAACTAAGCCTGGGTTGGTGTGAGAGAAGTATATTACTTTTTCGTCGGCGTATTCGGAAATTTGATTATTCGGCTTGGTGGGCTGATCGGCCGAATACAAATTAAATAGAGTTGGAGATGCAACTACACCTTGAAGAACGCAAGCTAAGATTGGAGAGATACTGGAAGATTCTATTCCTGCTCTGACAATGAAGTGTCGCTCGATTAAATATGATTTAAAGAGTAGGTAGTATGACGGGGGTAGAAAAGATTTTAATTTGAAAAGAAGGTCTGGGTGCCAGACTTTGTCGAAGTCTTGTGAAATGTCAAGAAACACTGCTGAGGTGTAAAGTTTATTTTCTAGAGAGCAGGCGATGGTATCAGCCAGACGGTGTATTTGGTGGATAGTTGAGTGATGTTCTCTAAATCCAAATTGTGTGTCAGGAATTAGTTTCTTTTCCTTGATGGTTGGATAAATTCTGATCAATATAAATTTTTCCAAAAGTTTTAAGAATAAAGGTAACAAGCTAATAGCCAATAGGTCTGTATGATGAAGGGTTATCTTTGGTGTAGGTAGAGAAAAAAATAATTGTGCCGAGTTTCCATTGGATTAGAATGTGAGAGATTCAGAGGATAGCTTTGAAGATATGATGAGGTGTATAATAGCTTTATCGGGAAGTTTGCGGGCTATTTCGGCTGTTATCAAATCGTGTCCGGGTAATTTTCTTAATGGAAATTTTTGTATATTGATTTTATCCCGTTTTGGGTGAAATGTTTAGCGGAAGAGTCATTAGGAGCGGGCTGTCTAGAAAAACATTTATTTTGTTTTCTATAGAAGGAATGGTGAAATGTTTGGGCTAAAGACTTCGGAGAGGTGTTGTCTATGTGTTACTGCATTTTCTTTGTCATTTATTGCGAGTCTGCCGTCAGATTTTTAATTGGAAATGATATTGTTTTAATTTTTAGGATTTTCCTGGTTGTTTTCCACAGTGAACAGTCTTTTTCAGAGAGGAGACTGGTTTGTTTAGTGAAGTCTTCAGAGCGTTGTTTGGCCATTTGTCTTTTAAGTAGAGTGTAAAAGTTATTATAGTTAGTTTTATTGGTGGGATATTTTGTTCTCTGCCAAATTGTTCTAGCTCGACGTTTTTGAGCAATAAGAGATCTTAAATAGGCAGACAGTAAGAAATTCTTTTGATTGTTATTATGATTTTTTGGTTTACACGAGAGCTATGCTGCGTTTTGTATTGATAATGTTAGATGTTGAATTGATTCCTCAATTTTGTTAGAGGATTTTAAGCAAATGTTTAAATTAATGTCGTTTGCTAGTATCAATTGGAATTTTTCATAGTTTATTATTCCATTTGTTTGTCTTTTTGGTGGAGTGGTATCGAGTGTGAGAAGGACTGGTGAGCTGTCTGAGTGGGGCTTTGATAGATTGTCTATGCTTGTGTTAAATCTGTTCGGTAATTTAGAGACAAATATATCAAGGATATCTGGTCGTTTTCGTGGTGAAGTTACCCAATGCGTGGGATTTTGGGGGGAAATGATTGAGTAGTTTTTGGAGATTCAAAACTGTCTTAAAGAATTACCTCTGGGTGAGTTTGAGTGATATCCCCATTGAGTGTGTTTTGCATTAAGGTCACCTTCTACAATAATTTGTTTCT